CAAGTGGTTCTGGGATTTGTAGTTCAGAACACAGCAATCTCAGGCATAGAGAAAGTCTGTGGCTGAAGAGGAAAGAGCTGTTGGGTTTTTTAAATTGTATTTTTGGTTTCATATGTTTACCCACAAACTTCCTGTCTTATTCATTAGCTTTCTCAGCTTCCCCATGTTGTCCATGTATGAGACTGCAGGAAAAAAAATAAAGAGCATTGATGTATACCGCAGTTGAAACCTTTTTTCCTTTCCATTGTAAGTTGCATTAGAGTAGACCCATGAATCCCTTGGAACTGAGTGAGTCAACTCCTCCATAAGCTTCAAATGCGTTGACTTAAGTTGGAACATCTTAGTAGGCCCATTTTAGGGAACCTTGTGATGAGGTTCTTCTGCAGCCAGAGGCGCTCTCGTGGTGAAGGCAGGAAAAAGATTTGGAGGCTGATCTTGTTTTTCATTATAAACTTCTTTATTCTTAACAGCATCTAATTCTATTGTGTCAAAAGTGTCCAATAAACTCGTTTCCTTCATAACATTATATTTTTTTAACTTTAATCCCTGCACCACCTTGATTCTCCCTCAGAAGGGAGTTGGACCAAAGCGCTCCCTGTCCGTCAGAGGTCTCAGGGGGGTACTCCGAACTGCGCAAACCGTCCCACAGCATGGGTGAGAAGCCCAATCCCGCTCTGGTGGCTTCTGAAGAAAAGAGGGACCAGGACGGATCACCCTCCGTCCCCCACGTTGGTTTCTGGGCTACACGACTACGGTCCATTCGAGGGGATCTAGGTCTCGTATTTTCGTACCAGTTAACGTCCTTTCTGGAAGCAATCCACCGCCTATCTGCAGGTTCGGGAATTACTGTAGGAGCCCAGTTACTCCTCTCATGTCGCTCTTGGGCTTGGTTTGTACTCCGCGGCTTACTGTTCCGCCTAGCTCTCCATCTGTGCTACGAGATACAACACCCAGGATGCATTGTGATAAGAAACAAACAGCTAGGAACACAAATTGAGTGGCCCTGAAAGAGATGAGGGTAATATAATATATCTCCTCCCAAACTATTAAATCTAACTCCTCCCCTCCTTCATCCACTAAACACATTTCCGCGGGTATCGATGGCACCACCTCTTCCTGGTCTATTTCTATCAAGATTCCTTCTGCACATCCGCTTTCTGTCACCGTATTTTGGATCATGGAGAATGGCACACTTGTCTTATGATTGTCACAAACCTACAGAGCAGTTGACTCACCAAATCTCTGTTGTTTCAATGAGCCCACTATAGTGTGACTTATTTATTAACAGCATTTCAGCCAGTGATTTGCCAGTTGACCCCCATTACAGTTATGGCCTCTTTCCAAGGGTGACCAACTAAATATCTGATGCCACTCCATTTCTGGGTCCAGGCCAGGTTTTAGCATGGCCTGAATTCCACCTAGTTCAGCCCACTCCAGAATTCATTGTAGCAGGGCTACTTATGTGGAGTCTGTTGGAGTAGGCAGATCAATTGTGTTCCAGTATGCAGTTGGTGATTCTGCCAGTCTGATTCTTAATTTGGTGGAAAGCCTTGGACTGCAAGATGCCAATCCTGTATCCACTCCCATGGATCCTGACTTTCATAAACAGGGAGAACCAGGTGAACTCTTGCCCAACAAGCATGGCTGTAGAGAAGCCATAGGAAAGATGCTGTATCTTGGCACGATGACAAGACCAGATAGTGCAGCAGCGGTGGGCATTCTTTGCCAAAGGACCAGCTCAGTGACCCAAAGGGACTGAACTGGGATTAAGTGGGTGGTGAGAAATCTAAAGCAGTTTGGGAAGGCAGGGCACCATGCTCACGTGCATGAGCGAAGGGGTGCGGGCATGCTTGCGCGGGTGATCGCTTGCACATATGCGTGAAGGGTGTGGGTGCTCACATGCATGTGCGAAGGGCACTCGGGGGCACTCGGGGGCATGAAAGAGGGTGGGGGTGCTCACACTGGCGTGTATGCACTCACATACATGCACAAAGGGGCTGTGCAGGGGGAGTGCGTACGGGGTTGGGTGGGTAGGAGATCTGTCTCCGCAGCCAGGTCCAGCTCAGGCCACATACCGGCACTGGGCCATGGAACGGGGGTTGGGGACCCCTAATCTAAAGAGTCCTGCACATTTAAATCTTAAATTACCATCCACAGAAAATCCTAGACTAGTCAGGTTTACTGATGCAGATTGGGCAGAAGACATAGCCGACCAGAAATCCACTAGTGGTTATGCATTTTTCTATGTTAAGGTACCTGTCTGTATATAACTGTAAATACGTGTAAATACAACTGTCTTGCAACACAAGAAGAACTGGTAAAGTGTCTTCAATAACTCTGCGTATTTTACTGTTGCCAAAACCCTAACACAATACCTATGTCCTTGCTTGCTCTCTGGTTCAATAGTTCATTCTGGCAATCGTGATACCACACCTTAAACATCTCATATACTTGAAAACCCTTTTAGGGTTGCTATAACTTACACAAACTTTGTTCTCCTGTAAATCGGCGCAAGATTATTCACATTCATCCACTCAGGATCCCTATTTGCAGAATTCAGGCTGATAATCCGAAGAGTCCTCATTCCAGTCTGAACATTTATTTCAGTTCCAAGGAAACTTTCATACAGTAATGAAGTTAGAATCATGTTAAAACCATTTCAGTAAAATAAAAACAATCAAAGATTAAAACAATCAAAACATCACAGAACACAAGGAGGGAAGTTGCACAAATCATGACTTCTTTCTGTAATGGCGTTCCCACCGTCAAAAGCTCATCCAGAGCATCATGCTTGTTAATTATCCACTTATTGTTCTAAAATGCCATTAGGAATGTGAGTTTTGTGGCGTCATCAAAGAAAGCGAATTCAATGAAGCTGAGGGGATGATGCCCTTTGAAGCCACCATAAGGTTTCTTTCTGAGGTACATTCATAGGGTCACAATAGCTTCATTCAACACCACAGCTCTCCCTGTAGAATGACCCTCCGTATGTTTTCTTCCCTGACTGGACATATGGATGAAGATCAAGAAGTTCATTTCCTGCACGTTTCAAAGTTTCCCCTCTCTGTGCATCTGTTGATGTCTGATGTTTTGAGCATTACAACAGAAGCTTACTCCACATTCTTTGCACGGATAGGGATTCTCCCCAAGGTTAATTATTTGTGTTCTACAAGATCTTTACTTCTACAGAGATTTTTCCAATATTATTAACATTTATCTGATTTCTCCCCAGCATGAATTTTTCGATGCCATGTAAAGGCTGAACGAGTTCTGAAGCTTCTCCGACATTCTTTGCAATGATAAGGTTTTTCTCCTGAATGAATTCGTCGATGTATTATAAGGTTTCCGATTTGGTTGAAACTCCTCCCACATTCTTCACATTTATAGGGTTTCTCTCCTGTATGAATTCGCTGATGTACTACAAGGTTAGACTTATGGCTAAACTTTTTCCCACATTCACTGCACTGATGGGGTTTCTTTTGTGTATGATTTTGCTGGTGAAGGCTAAGATCACTGCTCTGGCAGAACGTTTTCCCACATTCTTTACAAGAATATGGCTTCTTCTCAGAATGACAGTACTGATGTACTTTAAAATTTGAGGAACGACTGAAAGATTTTCCACATTCTTCACATCTATAGGGCTTTTCTCCTGAGTGAATTCGTTGATGTATTACAAGATTTGAAATTTGTCTGAAACTCTTCCCACATTCTTTACACTCATAGGGTTTCTCTCCTGTATGAATTCGCTGGTGTACTTGAAGATCACTGCTCCGGTAGAAACATTTCCCACATTCTTGACAAGAATAAGGTTTCTTCGCTGAATGGGAGCGCTGATGTACTCTGAAATTTGAGAAATGACTGAAACATTTTTGACATTCTTTACACTTATAGGGTTTCTCTCCAGTATGAATTCGCTGGTGTACTTGAAGTTCACTGCTCTGGAAGAAACATTTCCCACATAGATTACAAGAATATGGCTTCTCCCCTGAATGCCGGCGCTGGTGTACTTTAAAAGCTGAAGGATGACTGAAACATTTCCCACATTCTTTGCATATATAGGGTTTCTCTCCTGTATGACTTCGTTGATGTATTATAAGGTTTCCGATTTGGTTGAAACTCCTCCCACATTCTTCACATTTATAGGGTTTCTCTCCTGTATGAATTCGCTGATGTACTACAAGGTGTCCCTTCTGGCTGAACTTTTTCCCACATTCATTGCATTGATGGGGTTTCTTTTCTGTATAAATTTGTTGCTGAAGGCGCTGGAAGAAGCATTTCCGAACTTCTTCACCAGAATATGGTTTCTCCCCTGAATGTTGGCACTCATGTACATTAAAAGCTGAGGAACGACTCAAACATTTCCCACATTCTTTGCATATATAAGGTTTCTCTCCTGTATGAATTTGCTGATGTACTTGAAGACGTGAATTGCATCTGAAGACATTTGTATGCTGTCTCTCCTGTGTGTATTCTTTGATGTCTTTCAAGTTCTGAACTTCTCTTGAAGCTCATGCCACACTCTGTGCACTTACAACCTTTCCCTTGAGAATGCATTGGTTGAGGTGCTTTAAAGTCAGAGCTAAAGCATTTGTGTTTCTTCCCTGTGTGAAATCTTGTCTCTTCCGGGCTCCATCTGAAACTTTCTCCATCCTCCAAACAGTGACACAGATTTATCTCAGTGTGACATGTTGGACATTTCACTGGACCTTTCCTCAGCGGGATGTTTTGTTGATACTCTGAGCTTCGAAGAGCACTGATGCTCCTGTTTGTTGTTTTTCCCATTTCGTCTTCAGAGGCAATACCGCTCGGATATCTGTGAGATATGTCTCTCCTCTGGTGTGCCCGATTCTGCTTCAGGGATTCATTTCCTTCCCAACAGTTCTCATTTTCATCCTCCCCTCTTTCTGGCAATGTCCCTTGGAGTCTTACTTCCTCCTCTTTTCCCTCATCTGTTCGAAGGAGAGAATTAATCATCAATTGAGGATCTAGGGGGTTTGAGAGGGAAAAGGTGCCACAGAAGAAAGTTTATTGCATTCATCAGCCTGCTTTGTATTCAGGAAATCTTTCTCATATTCCTTTCCTAAAATTTCTTGTTGTTGTTTAGTCGTTAAGTCATGTCCGACTGCACACGGCCCCATGGACCAGAGCACGCCAGGTCCTCCCATCTTCCACTTCCTCCCAGAGTTTGGTCCGGGAGGCCATTTTTTAGGTTTAGCTAAAGACACAAGAGGTTCAGTGGCTAACAAGTGAGTGGTAATACCCTGAAAGACAGGAACAAAATTCAAAAAGATCTTGATAAGCTCAAGAATTGGGCTGAAAACAACAGAATGAACTTTCACAGGGATAAGTGCAAAGTTCTCCACCTAGGATAAATAAACTGTACAAATGAACAATTACAAATTGGGGGATACTTGGCTCAGTAATATTATGAGTTAGAAGGATTTTGGAATTGTAGTAGATCACACACTGAATAGGAGGGATTCCAAGAAGCTGGAGCCAGTTGAGAAGAGAGCAACAAGGGTGATCAGGGGACTGGAAACCAAGCCTTAGGAGGAAATACTCTCTCTATATATATACCTTCTAGATTCCGAAGAGCCTGTATAAGGGGAAAAAAATAATCATTTGCATCATCCTCTTTTTGGTTGGCTCCTGCTTGCAGCTGCTTCTGTTTATCCTTAAGAAAAGCCTCTCCTTCCATGGGTGTTGATCAAAGGTCGACCTTCATCTGTCACCTTTAACAACAGAGCAGAAGCTTTTTAGAGTAACAGTTGGGACACCAGCCCTAACCTCAGTCATGAGTTCCATTGCCTTGGAAGGGAGAATCTAATTCAGGTGTTTATAGATGGAAGCCATAATGCTACCATGTTACCCCATTAAGAGAAAATGTGGCATTTGGATTTCCTGCACTCCAACTCCCCAATTTATCTCAGAATTTCTCCTCTAGGGGAATTCTGGTAGTCCCAGTCTACAATTTCAGAAACCTTGCATTTTCCCTCAAGGCCTAGTCTTCAGAAGCCGCACTATAGATCTCCAGTTCCTGCCCCCCAAATCCGAGCTCAATGTAGTTTTCGGAAGGCACAATCTATATAGAACCAAAAG